GAAAAACGGATTTTGAGAATCCGGCTGTTTTATTTTTGTCCAGAATGTTTTTTTTTTTTTTATAGATGTCCACGGATTTTTTGTTTTTTTTTTATATAAATAAATGATTCCATTGATTTGTGTATAATCAAAGGCCAAGATTAATCAGTTAAAATATCATAGCTTTTCGAGGTCTGTGTAATTCCAACCTCTTCATCTTCCTCTTTCTAGTCTATATCAGCTTCATCCTTGTCCTCTTCATCATCCTTTTTCCAGTTTATGGCTCTCTTCACATCCTCAACCTCGTCCTCTTCATTTAAAGCTTCGGCTCCTCCGATCACCACAACCACCATCTTCTGATCTAGCAGCGCCGCGCGGCTGGGGATCGAGAGAGTGAGAGGGACGACGATTCGTCTTCCAATCAAGAAGAAGAAGGACGACAATTGGCCTCCATCCTGACCCGAAAATCGGGTCGGTCCATCAGCTTGCAATCCATCTCCAACCTCAAGGATGTGATTCACAAAAGCAAGCGACACCTCGACTGGCCGCCGATCTGCAGCCCGAGGTCCAGAGCCGGCCCTAACAAATTGTAGGCCCTGGACCAAATGAATAAATAGTTCCCGTATTATTTTTAAGAAAAAAAAAAACCATAAACAATATATCATGTTATAGAAAAAATAAATAAGATTATAATAAAATTATAATTTTTATAAAAAAATACAATAAATAAAAGAATAAATCATATTCAGTCATTGTATTTATTATTTTATTTTATTTTTTGAAAATTTTATTTTTGTATTACGATTTTTATAGAATGCCAAATTAATTTGTAGTGTTAACCTTCCAAAGATGGGTAACAAGTTTGAGGAGAATGGGGCATATGTCATTCACAATCACTATTTAGAAAGTAACTTTAATAAATACGATCTACAATCGCAAAGTTAAAACTCATTATTCATAGTAGGACAACTAAAGTGTTGGAGTATCGATTTTCCAACGTTTTATTTTGACTTTCGTAATTTTACTATCTTGCAAGATATTGACAATGTAGCTTTTCAAAATAAATAGTTGTGTTTTCAATTTTATTTTCAAACATGTAGACGATACATATTGTTAACGTATATCTCATTATCTAATATTATAATCATCTATTGCTTTCGGATGGATGGGATATGCGCTAGTATAAAGTATTGTACTTTGTCCATCTTACAAAAGTATAAATTTAAGGATCCAAAAAGATAGAACAATTTTTTTTTTAATAACATTTTCATATGTTACGTGTATTATTATTTAAATGTATATTTATCAACAAAAGAGGAGAACAAAATTTAAATTTTACCTTTGAATAGTACTTTTTTGTTTTCATAAACTAGGTAAAAAGACAAAACATATGGTGCAAACAAAATATATTGTTTAATCATTCATATAAATTTTTAATATATTATATTACATTATTTTACAATAAAGCAACCATTAAAGAAAAAAAAAAAGATTAAGATTATTTTATTTCATATTATACCATCAACTTTCATTGTTCAGGAAATTTTCAAAACAAAATACTATCAATTGCTCTCAAATATGGAACATTCAATTCTACCTTCACCTCCACAGAGGTTTTAACTATCGAATTATAATTTACAAATACTAAAATACACACATGTAGGTGAAATTCACCCACAAATATCCACATTACCACAACTCAAAATCTATTCACTTTCTTGTAATTATCTTTAGTGAAAATTAATTTAAAATATATTAATGCAGAAGTTAAATTTTAATATAGATTGAACTAATTTAAAAATTCCTTAATTAATATATAATTGTAGTGCTCCTGATTTTTTAGCCTGGGCTATAGCCCTAGTGGGCCTATATGTGGCTACGCCCTTGACTGGACTATTTAATTCCTACTTTGAATCTGACCAACAACCCCGGGCTCCACCCTTACCTGCTCCGAGGTACCTCATTCAACGAACGAGCGTCGCCCTCGTCTTTATAATTGACTATTTTTCCATCATTTCTAGTGCTAAGCTAAGCTACAGCGTTTGCTTTTTTAGTTTTAGCAGGTCATTCATTAAACCCTAGTCATTTCAGTGATAAAGAGATGGCTCAAACAACTCCAAACCACACGCAGACCGTTTCGGGCTGGGCTGCTCATGACGAATCGGGCCACGTCACTCCTTACACCTTCAAACGCAGGTACATTTATCAAACTATTTGGCCACTCCATTAATTGGTTGGTGCTGTTAATTTAGCTTTTAACCGGTTTTTATGCATTACATTACAGAGGACCATTGTTTTCAGGTCACAGGGTCAACTATTCTGTCAATAGGTTAATCTCAATAATTAAGTTTCGAAATTTTAAAATTAGATACATATGTTGTGACAGATAAGTTCATAATAAAAAATACTCTTGCAAAACAAGGTGTGGATCATTATTTTTGTATTAGATATGAACCTATCTTCCAAACTTAATGAATTTGGTCAGGGAAAATGGTATCAACGATGTGACCATCAAAATCCTCTATTGCGGCATTTGTCACACTGATATCCATCACGTCAAGAACGATTGGGGCATAACAATCTACCCTGTTGTTCCCGGGTAACACACAACATTAATATTATTTTGTCCCTTCACATAAACAAATTTGAATTACAATTACCTATTTTTCATTTTTCTTGGAATTTGACTTGAATTAGGCATGAAATTGTTGGGATCATCACAAAAGTGGGCAGCAATGTGACCAATTTTAAGGTCGGTGATCGAGCTGGGGTCGGGTGCTTGGCTGCAAGTTGCTTGAACTGTGAGTACTGTAAAGATGGCCAAGAAAATTACTGTGATAAAGTCCAATTTGTGTACAATGGCATTTTCTGGGATGGCAGCATCACTTATGGAGGCTACTCTGAGTTTCTCGTGGCTGATCACAGGTAATTCATATTAGACGTTGGATCGTGAAATTATGGCACCATAGAATTTTTGTTTAAAATAAGGGAAACAAAAAATATTTAGATTTCAGCCCTTACCAACTTTTTATACACTAAAAATAGAAAAACCCCACTGTTTTTATTTAGTGTCTGCAAATATTCCCCAGATCACGTGAGGTTTCAGTGACATAAATGATTTTATGGTCTCCTCTAGCAACCCAATTATGGGACCCTATTGGCTATTACAACTTCATTATCTCAATTGTTATGTGGTGGTCATAAAGGGCCTATCCATTATACCATTTAGGCAAAAATGCATTTTTAGTCGTAGTTTAACACCATAGTAATTTTAGTCTCAAAGTTCCAACTTTTTGCTTTTAGCCCTATGATTTAGTATTTTGCTGCAATTTCAGTCCTCAAAGGACTGAAACTGCAACAAAATTTTAAACATCAGGACTAAAACATAACATACCATCAGTCTCGGACAATCTTAAACTAATTTAAATGATGAAGGTACGTTGTTCATGTCCCGGAGAGTTTGCCAATGGATGCTGCAGCTCCACTTCTATGTGCTGGGATCACAGTATATACTCCCTTGAAAGACAATGGCCTTATAGAGTCAACCAGGAAGAAAATAGGGATAGTTGGGCTAGGAGGTTTGGGCCATATTGCAGTCAAGTTTGCAAAGGCTTTTGGTCACCATGTCACCATAATTAGCACTTCCCCATCAAAGGAGAAGGAGGCCAAACAACGTTTGGGTGCAGATGATTTCATTTTGAGCACCAATCCAGAACAAATGCAGGTTCTTTTTATCCTTT